TCCATTTCATCATCCATAGCTCTCATCCACTTGGATTTATCTTGTCGAACTAAAACCTCTTTGTAATGGCTTGGCTCTTCTGCTTCTGATACTAAGCAGGTATATTTAACTGGGGGTTTTGAAACTCGCTTTGATCTTCTAAGCTCTTCTTCTGGAACAATGGTGTCATCAGATGAAATATCAACCATTGAATTCATCATTAAGTCTTGTTGTGAAATTATAACGCTGTCATTGCCTTCATCTACAGCTTCATCTTCATCTGCAGTCNACAATGGTGTCATCAGATGAAATATCAACCATTGAATTCATCATTAAGTCTTGTTGTGAAATTATAACGCTGTCATTGCCTTCATCTACAGCTTCATCTTAATCTGCAGTCTTCTAATTCACTGTGTTCTGTATTTTTCTTTTTACTAGCTTCTAGTGATATGCCCACTTCTTCCGAGATTTGTCCAGATTGCTTTTCAAATTCCAAATCATCTTTAAGAATTACGTAATCTCAGCTAATGACAATTTTCTTCTTCTCTTTACTCAAAAATCTGAGCGCCTTCGACTCCTCTGAATATCCCACGAAAATTAATTTTTCTGTTTTCCTGCATAACTTATTACGCTTTTTAGCTGGTATTAGAACGTGAGCTTTTGAACCAAACCGTTCAAACTTGTACATATCAACTTTTCTTCCTTCCCATAATTCAAAAGGAATATTATTATTTGACCTTGTCGGTAGACGATTTTGAATATAATTTGCTGTAACTATCGCCTCACCCCAAAACTCATCGTTAAGGTCTGCATCAGCTAGCATACATCGCACCATCTCAGTTAAGTACCGATTTCGTCTTTCAGCTACTCCATTTTGTTGTGGAGTGTACGGTGTTGTGAACTGTTGCTGAACACCTAAGCTTGCTAAATACTGCCCAACAGCTATACCAGTAAACTCTCCTCCTCTATCAGATCTTATGATTTTTGGAGTCTTTTGAAATTTTGTTCTAACGAAACTTATAAAATCTTTTAAGCGAGCTACGACCTCGGACTTGCGTCTGAGTAAATACAAATTACAGTACCTACTGTAATCATCAATAAACGTCACGAAGTAACGGAAACCACTTGGTGTTGTTTTATTCATTACAGCAACATCTGTGTGTATTAAATCTAACACAGCACCTGACTGCTCACCTGCTACCTTCGGAAATGGTTTTCTTGTCAGCTTACCAATAAGGCATACTTCGCACTGAAACTCAGCATCACACGGATTGACTTTGATGTTCTTGTCCTTCAAATACGACCACACAACCTTGATGTCACGATGACCCAACTTTCGATGCCAGTCATGTACACATCCTTGATGTCGTCCAGCACTGTTCACCATATTCACCTCTGCACAAGTCACCCTCAGCTTGTATAAATCATTGTTTAATTCAGCTGTGGCTTTTACTTGATTATGTTTAATAATTTTACAATTATTTCCTTCAAAGAGTACTTGATAACCCATCTCGGTTAACTTCTTCACCGATAGCAAGTTGCTTTCTATTGAAGAAACGAACAAAACATCCTTTACATTTATCCTTTCAGACTCACCATCAGCATTTATTATCTCGATGTGACCACTGCCTCTGCCTTGCGACCGAATTTGGTAACCATTTGCGACATTAACAGCTTCTTGGATATTATCGTTTAGCATGTCAAAAAAATCCCGATTGTTTGCGATGTGACATGTTGCTCCTGAATCGATGTACCAATCATTTTTCGTCGACTTGCTAACCAAAAACATTGCTCTTCCAGTGAATCATCTTGTTTCCCGGCCATATTAACGTGATATTTTTGCTTCTCTTTAAAAAATTTACAATCCTTCTTCATGTGCCCTTTTTTCTTGCAATAAAAACACTCGATCTGAACTCCCGTCCTTTTGAATTGAGTCTTTCTCCCTTCGATTTTCAGCACCGCCGAATCCGAAGTATTCCGTTTGTGCACCTTACGTTTAGCCTCTTCCAAAAGTTTTCCTTTGACGAAATTAATGTTAAGCTGTATCTCATCTCTTGCTTCCAACGCAACAATTAATGGATCGTATGACTCCGGAAGACTGCTCAACAGCATAGCAACAGTCCAGGAACTGCTTAGTGGATCACCCATCATGGATAGCTGCTCAACGTAACTCATCAAATCGTTAATATGCTGCTCCATTTTCTCATCGTCGTATAATTGCATTTTGCAAATCGTCTTCATCAGAAAAACACGACTGCTAAGGGATGGTTTTTCATAAAACTCTTTCAGGACATTCCAATAATCCTTGGCTGTAACCGCGTTTTTGAAATGCACCAGTTGATCATCATTCACCATCAGTCCAACGGTTGCACGAGCTTGTCCGTCCTGCTTGATCCAGTTTCCGTCCGGCTGCGCTGGCTTCGGCTTTGAGACTATGTCACACAAATCTTCCTTGATCAGCAGTAGTTCCATCTTTACCTTCCATGTTGCGTAGTTTTCACCATTTAGTTTGGCGACCGTTGTACTAACGCCTTCCTTCGACATTGCGCGATGGCCCATAACCTATTGGGAAATGCTCCCAATGTATGAAAACGCAGTGAAGTTATAGATAGGAAGTTTTATTTTGGAATGAAAAATTTCTCGTATACATTTTTCACATTTGAAAATAAGAACAATAGTGAGTAAGTATTTTTGCTTTACAATATTAGCAAGTAAATATTCGTATAGTGTTTTCCAAAAAACCCAACAGTACTACCCACCTAAGATTTTTAAAGGTGGTTGATTACCCACCTGAAAATTTTTTAGAAGAAAAATAAGTCCAATTGAAATTCCTGTTTCAACCACACCTGAAGAGTAATTTCGGCAGATATATTATGAAATTTTTGACAAAGTTATTTGCTCCCTGACAAGTAGATTTGATACTGAATCGGCAACGTTTTATAAAACTTTAGTAAAGTTCACTTTTGGTGAGACAGTAAATTTGAAGAAAATGGTGATTTTGACGAATGTAAACTCAATAGCGATAAAGATATGGATCTGTGCATAATGAGGCGTACATGCTCTAACGGAAGGTGCTTTTCTGTTTTGCGTAAGGTGAAAAATTATTTGCACTCGACAATGCACCAAAAACGGCTCAACCATGTAGCAATATTGCATCCTTATCCATGAACTCATGAACGACTTTATTTCTCAAAATTCAACGCGCATGGTCGTGTTTTCACTGCAGAAATAAAATTTTGAATTTTCAATGAAATATATACATGCATATGTATATTAGGATGGTCTAAAAATGCATGTGCAGAAATGCATGCCCAAAGTTTTCCATGTATTTTATATGGGGAAAAAAACCACTTTTCGTAAAAATGGTATAGAATTACTTTCATCTGCAGAAGATTCCCCACAATAATACCTAATATTGATTTTCAAGAATTTTATACCATTTCTACAAAAAGTTGTTTTTCCCATATAAAAATACATGGAAAACTTTGAGCGCTTTGAGAGGCCTCTTAATATTTTTTGATTTTTGGTGAGAGCATTACAATTCCAACTTTACTGTTTTTGGACCACCCTATTGTACATGGTATATATGAAAAATAAATGTATTATGCACGAAACAATAAGTTTTTCTAACGAAATCTGTTAACCTTCTCAATTAGATCGGCAAACAATTTTTTTTTTTACCTGTATACTCTCGCCACTAGCACAACTACCCACCCGGGCACAGAGCGTTTCGCCGCCCCTGAACGGCAACACTAGTTCTGGGTGCCGGGCAAAGGTGAAAACGAAATAGCTGTCAGACTAATACTAAACGGACGACGAAAAAACCCCAAATGAATGAAATTAGTCACACTCAGCCACTTCATTCTTCATTTGTTTCATAAAGATGCTTTGCGATTTCTTCCGCTTCCGCATAGTTACAGCGGCGTTAGAGTCTTGTGAGCCAGTCTCATTTTAGCCGCTATCCATTAGCCATTTAGCCACGTTTAACAGTATTCCGAAATCTGGCTATATGGCCTATGTATTATGACATCTTCTGCACGCCAGTCGTTGCTCTTCTGCGCCAACTGGCGCCAATTGGAAATGCCATGCCCTTCTCCACGTGTTCTTTCCAACACAGAGAAGGTCTTCCTATTAACCTGTTACCAGTTCGAGCAGTCGCCCCATCAGAGGTTTTCATTGTCCATGACTTACTTACGTACTTACGTACTTATATAGTGTGGTTTTCGTGCGTAGAGAGAGGACCTACTCAGTCCAAAGTAGCACTTGTTGGCAAGAGCGATTCTCGTTGAGAGAGTAGAGAGAGGACCTACTCAGTCCAAAGTAGCACTTGATGGCAAGAGCGATTCTCGTTAGATTTCAAGGCTGATATTATTGTTGGTATTAATGGTCGTTCCTAAATAAACAACGTCTACTTATGACATGGAGGCATTTAAATCAAGCCATTGCGGCATAGATCCTCTGCCATATCGTTGCCCTGGATCTAAGACCGGAAATCATAAACAATCAAAGATCCAATAGATATTTAATGAGGATCGTTCTGTAGCAAAGACTACTCTGAATTTTTCGATAGCAAAGACTTGAGTTTGGAAAAACTACATACATAAATTAATTGGATTCTATAAATCTGGGCTATCTCGATCCCAGATAACAGTAAGGGTATTTGCGTTGTAGCTATATGTGTGAGTGTAAAGCTTACAAGCCTGCCTAACTGAGACTTACTCTGAGCGAGATTATATGCTGCCTCTTGGATGGTAGACACTTCTTCTTCATACTCCTGTAACTTGTTGATGTATCTAGGCTATCTGCATGGCTTCAGCGCCACCTTGCCAGTCAATTCTTTGCAAAGTTATTTTTTATCGTGCGGTTAATATAAGCATTAAGTTTGTAACAAAACGGTTCATATATAAAAATTATCTAAATATCTCGACTCTAGCGCCACCTCTTGAGGCAAAAAATAAAATAAAAAAAAAAAAATTAAATAAATGAAATAATAACAAAATCGTTGGTGCTCTCGATTCCAGCATGGCCTGCATTCAAGATGGATTGGAACAAATGAAATTAGGCGCGGGCAATCTCTCATTCGCAACAGACATCGACTTTCAGCAACGACCGCAAGCGAATAACGTAAACATCAACGTAACAGACAGTAGTTCCGACAATACCTGCCAACATCGATGGACGCCCACACACGGCTATCGCGACAAGGGTATCGGTGTGATGACAAGCCTACTGGGTTGTATGAAACCGATACTCTCTTTTATGACCAAGACTGGCGTTATCGAGGTCAAAGATCCAAAGGATTACGCCTGGGAAATACCATTTGAATGCATCACTGGGCTGGAGTGGCTGGGAAGCGGTGCACAAGGAGCGGTTTTCAGTGGAAAACTTAATAGCGAAATTGTTGCCGTGAAGAAGGTGAAAGAACTGAAAGAAACAGATATTAAGCATTTAAGAAAGTTGGATCATCAGAATATTATTAAGTTTAAGTGAGTAAATGAATCGATAAACATACGTGACGTTGTCTAATGTCATGCATTTCAATATTTATACAGGGGTGTTTGCACACAATCGCCCGTCTATTGTATAATCATGGAGTTTTGCCCCTATGGTCCACTACAAAACATACTTAAGGAGGAGAAAGTGATGTTGCCGTCGCGCCTGGTGTCGTGGTCGAAGCAAATTGCGCTCGGCATGCAATATCTGCACTCGCATAAAATTATACATCGTGACTTGAAGAGTCCCAAGTGAGTAGAAAATTTTTTTGAAAAACCAAATCGCTCATATTTATTTCCAAAATTTACTTTCCCTCCCCCCCTCTCCAGCATACTAATCGGTCAACAAGAGATAGTGAAGATCAGCGATTTTGGTACAAGCAAAGAATGGAATGAGATCAGCACGAAAATGAGTTTCGCCGGCACCGTGCCCTGGATGGCACCTGAGGTGATACGAAATGAACCATGCTCGGAGAAGGTCGACATTTGGTCCTACGGCATTGTGCTTTGGGAGATGTTAACATGCGAGATACCCTACAAGGATGTTGACTCATCCGCCATTATTTGGGGTGTGGGCAATAACTCATTGAAACTACCGATACCGTCCAGTTGCCCAGAGGGTTTCAAGTTATTGGTTAATTTATGTTGGCACACTAAACCTCGCAATCGTCCCTCCTTCGGGCAAATATTGTCCCATTTGGAAATTGCCGGTCCAGAGCTATTGCGTAAAAGCGACAAAGTCTACTTCGAGGCGCAGCAGTCGTGGAAGGAGGAAGTGCGTTCACATCTCAAGGAAATCACAAAGAATGGCACTAGCATACATAAGTATGAACAGGATTTGATTAGACGACGCACGGCCGAGTGGCAGCATGCGCAAGATATACGACTGGTCTATGAAGATAAGTTGGAGAAGACAAATCGACTGTATTTAGAATTAAGTGAATGCATGACTCAGCTGCAGGAAAAGGAGAAAGAGATTGCTATGTAGGTTTTAGAAAAAGTAATTTTGAGCATCTTGCATTTTACGTATCGATTTTCAGGCGCGAAAAACAACTACCAGGTTACAAGCCAACGCGTCGACTAGGCGGTACGTTGCGAAAGATACAAAATTACCGTAGACGGCTTAATGCACCTTTGGTAACACCAGGAAATGCTCAACAACAACAAACGTCAACGACACCAGACCCTGAAACTACGCCAGAGGTAAAAAGAGATGCTGTTTCTAAATCAAGTTGGTTTAAGAAATATAAAGCAACTTTATTTTTAAGTAAAATAAAAGTTTTGGGAAGCCAGTTTCCCAAAATGAGTACTTTTATTAATCATAACTATAGTGAGAAACATCTCAAGTGACTCTATAAGCCTTTAGGATTTGATTTTAAATATTTAGCATGGACTAGAGAGATTTGTTTTCCTACGCCCGTCTATATAAATCAGGGCCGATCAAATACAGCTTTTACACTGCGCAAAAAACTTAAACTGAAGTCTACACAGCTACATATGTATTATTTGCATAGTGGGAAAATACCCATTTGGGCGCTAGCTAATTGGATACAGGGATGCTCGTAAAGGATGACTCCATGCTAGATCTATTACCTTTATTTTATTTCTGCCATAAAAAACGTTAAGTAAGATATTGATAGTGGACTAGGTCCATTTGTAATATGTATATGTGGAGTTTTAAAAACTAATTATAGCTCCCTTCAGCATACTCTGAGTTATGAGTTATATTTGGTCAGAGTGCGGAACCTTCTCCAATCAACTATTGCTGAGGAAAGCTTACATACTTCCAGGTAACTGTAAAATATTCGAAGCCAAAATACTATGGAATGAAACCGCTGAGCTTATCTTGGCAATATCATTCAAAACTCGTCTTCTTTATATACATGTAGGCACGTCGGTCAAGGCCTTTAGTTTAGTAGGAATTAGCTGAAAATATGTTCAAGAATTTCCAATGTCCTCTTGGTGGTGTTTGGGAAACTGCACCGACCTAAAACATAATGGATTTCCTCCGAAGTTTTCTTCGACGTATACACTCTACCGGCAGAGACCATTGACGAGAAATACACAGAAGCTTATCAGTAAATAACTTTTGAGCTTAAACAAATGCGCTTCAGATTTATGTAGGACCCTTGTTTGAAAACTAGAGCAGTCTAGCGCTCGTTTGAAGTGATGATGGATTCGTCAATATTTCAGTTTTAAGAAAGTAGAATGTTCGGGATGGGGAAAGCTCTCCATACTATAAGCCTTCATTTCTCCGAGCGAGCTGGTTAAAAGTAGCCCACAAGTCGAAGTACATTTATAAAAAGTTTAGCAGGATATAAATTTCAGTAAGCACGACACTAGATCAGTGGCGATCAGAGAGAGCTTTTATTATTAAAGACTTCTGCCCGCGGGCGATGTTTTATGAATCACTGTTCTGCGTTTTAAAAGACCAACTCGTCTCAAAATTGTCATATGAAGTATATAATACATTTTTTGACTTGGGTCCATATATATTATCATCCACAGAGTCCCCTTAAAGCTATGCTGTACGCGCAGGTGATAAGCTTGAATCAGACAAAATCATATTGCGTGCCCACACAGAAGCTGAAGAAGAGCAGACATAGACGAGTTGGTTCTGGCAGCTTTGCAGCTGTGCCCAAGTATAGTCCAAGTCGAGACCGACGCTACCAGAGCGAGCCAGAAAATCGTAAGAACGTCAAGTTGGTGGATACCGAAACACAAACCGATGCCATGGATATAAGTGAGACAGACATTAGCCCAAGCGCCTGCTGTGCAATGCGCGATATCTCTATGACGCTCGCAAATGACAGCGGGCTGCCATCTTACGAAGTTCTATATGCAATGGATCGCATAAATCAACGCCAGTTGGCAGAGCCACAGATCGCTATGCCCCGACCACAGCAGCTAATACACAATGTAAAGGAGCAACAGCAACAAACCGATGTGGTGCCAGCAGGAGAGGTGTCCGCGGCGGCGACGCCAACCAGTCTGAATGGCAACTCCATGACCCCTTCAGATGTGACTTTCCAAGATGCATGCTCTAGTCCCGATCAACTGCTCGACGATGTAATCAACAGCAACGAAAGACTTGACATACCCGATTATTGCAGTTCGAATGAGCACCTCGAGCGTCTTGGCGAAAAGGTGATAAAATTTATCAACGAGAATCGACTGAGCATACAAACTACAACAACGGGCCTTAGTAATCATGGTGAAGTATCGGCTGCTACGCGCTTGCAAGCTGACAATGGTAATGAGCTGGCGGGCGAGAGTTTTGGCACAACCACGCAAGATACGATAAGGGAAGGCTCGATGGAGCGATCGACGCCGAGAACGAGCAGTGTACGACGAAAACAAAAGCAGCAGCATAGCTCGGAGAAGAAGATGCGCGCTGAGGAGCAAGCGCAAGCGCACCATAATGCAAATGGTGAATCGAATGAAGATCTCTTCGATGATAGTTGGTCAGACGAGGAGGGCGAGGATACTGACTATCACTATGGGCTACGAAGAAGGAGGTAAGTAAAGGTGATATGCAAAGGTAATATAGGTACTATTTCCTCTCTCTCTCTCTCTTCGTAGCATTGGTCGTCTGCCAATTGGCCGTGGCATGCGTGCACGTCGTTGCTACAAAATACCCATCATTCCGAAAATTCCCATCCACAAGCGAAATGTGACTGTCGTCTCGGATGAGGAAAATACCTCGGAGTATAGCCACTCACCATCCAGCCAACATTCAACACTCGAAAGTAATCCTGATGAAGTACTCAAGCAAATGAAAGCCACACAAAAGAGCATCGCGACAACTGCTACAACAACAGACAGCGAAGAAGAGGTCTCGTCGAGCAGCAGCAGTGAGGACGGTGAGGATGTGACAACGCTGCATGAGCGTAGCAGTAGATCGACAGCAGCAGGCGGATGCACAGCAGTTGCAGCTGCAGCAGCGCAACGACAAAGGCGTTCACAACGCCAACAGCAGCAACAACAACAACCACACAAATACATCACTGCAACAACAAAAGCAGCCACAAATGTTGCGGTTGCACCAGCAGGCAATGCGTTGCCTTTTTTACCGAAGCGCAGTGATGTTATTTCCATACCCACATACGAAGCGGACGGTGCTGTGGATATGGTTTAGGCGCGAGTACTGTAACAGCAAATACTAAGTAGGCTCATGAACTTTGCCTTAAACATAAGGCTGTAGTTCCATATGAAAACACAAATAGATACAAAAATAAAAACCATAAACGTGAAATAGTATGTAAAATTATAAGCAGAAATTATTAACGCAAACAAGTTTCGCTTTAGTTCAAGTGCGTATGTATCTCACAAAATTTAATGTTCTGTATTAATAATTAAATCTACCAGTTTATTACTTAAGTAATCGTTACGAATAAGTGTACAACAACAAGTCAGGCATCTTGTCATAGTAATTAGTCATATATGAAGGCATACACACATACATACATACATACAACCTTAGAACAGAGGATTACATTTAATTACATTGTACTCATTACTTACATATATTTAAATGGTTATTGTATATTATAAGGTAATATTATTTAGCAGGAAAAAGGAAAAATTGTACACATACACACACTAGTAGCTTATGTTTAGAGATACATTACTAAAAAGACTTGGTTTTACATTAGGGTTCCCAAATATGTTAAGCATTTCCAAGTAGTTTTGGTTGCTAACCTTCACCTGGCAGCAAAAAGAAAGTTGTAACCCAACTTTTGTTACCGCTCGTACAGTGCCTCCTCAATAAACGTAACTACTAAACTGAAGCGCAGATGTATATTTGTCAGAAACCCCAAATACAAACATTTCAAAAAGATAATCTGATATGTTTGACAAAACAAAACAAAAAACAATATTGTCTGGTGAATGAGGCTTTTTTGTTTTTTTTTGTTTTTGTTGTCGGAGCGAGCACAAAGTTAAGTGTGCAACGAGTTATCTGGAGTCCCATCTGCGGTGCGATCTGCCTAGGGTTACCTCTACTTTGCCTCTCAGCGGTCATAGAGGCATATTGTGATGCGTCCTTAAACTACCCCGAATATTTGAAGCATTCAGGCAGCGGAGAAGACATGCTGAGTTGCATGCTGATATGTATGTATCTTCAGCCCAACAGTGGGACATTTTCGACTAATTTTCTTCAAAAATGGCTGGAACAGTAGATTTTTTGCCGAATTTAATAACTTTTTTTTTAATACTTGGAACCGGTTGTAGAAAAGATTGTCTAAGCCAATTAAAAAAAGGTGGGAACATTACAAAAAACCATCAAACTAAGAGTATATACATATATATAAATAAATAAAAAATATTGCACACTTTATCCAGAAAAATGCGTAAGATACGAGTTAAGAATAGCAGCCGCCATATTGGATCGGCCAAATTCGATCGGTAATTTTGAATTTCCTGATTCTATCATCAGAACGGAATTAAACGACTTCAAAAACATTTACCTTTAGAATCTGAGATTTGTAACCAAGAAAGAAAAAACTTTAATAGTTTTTTTTTTTTTTTGAAATTGTCCGACTTTCGCCAAATCCTTGGACAATCTTTTCTAAAACCAGTCTCAAGTATTAAAAAATTTCGAAAATCTTCCACTGTCCAACGGTTCTCTTTCCAATATTGTTTTGAAAGTTTTCGGGGTGCAAGGTAGACTTGTGCAAGGTTGAAGTCCTCAAGTTCTTTTTTCGAATTTAGCTGATTGGCAGATTTTTTGTTTTCAAGTGTAATTCGTATGTTCTTTTATCGCCGCAACTTGCAACCAATCTCTTAAACCAAATCTTTATGTACGAAATCTCGCAATTTTGTACGCCAAATTTTAACTTTTTTTATTTTTTTATTTTTTGTTAAGTAATACTTAACCTGCAATAACTAGATATTAAAAATTTATTAATTTAAAATTAGTTTGATTACAAATTATTTTTAAATATATATAGATACATTTAAGCGTACAATATGCATGCCCACATACATATAACATGTGTTTTTAATTACGGCTATGTAAGTTTCTTTAGCATCTAAAGTTCAGATTATGCACTTGACTTAAGTTATACATGCATACTACGGTGGTCCTTAAAATATCAACTTCCAAATTTTATATGGAGAGCATCTTTATTTTGCTCTACGTACAAAACAAAAGGCATCCACGAAAATTTCAAAATTGTAAACAAATTTTTAGTGGTTGCTTTTATTTAAAATTAAAAAAAAAAAAAATTCCACAAACTCATCATAACTCAGTTAGTTTTTGAATTTAAATGAGCAAATTTCAATAGAAGTTATAGCTGGTCAAAGTAAAAATTTTGACAAATTTGTGCGATAAAAAAAAAAAAAAAGTAAATTTTTTCAAAACTTGCCCATATTTTTTTTTAATTTTTGTGGATATCTTTAAATGTGTGTTCCACCATTAGATGTTGATATTTTAAGGACCAGCCTAATATATACATATGTACATATATTTAATGCGATATATACATACGCGATGTCCAATCACTTTAATTGTACTTTAATAAGTTTAATGTAGGTTTAGTTACTCCTAGTTTAGTTTTTGAAGCGATTAAATTGCTTCGACGTGCCTGCTATTCTCGGAAGACATTCCTTTTATTTTTGTTTTTAAATTAGTTTTTTTTTAAGTTTTATATATATTCGTAAATTAATATATAGATACATATGTATTAAATGCATGTGCTTAAAATACATATGTACATACAAACATACATATACTTGTGGCTATTATTATGTAAACTCATATTGCCTAAATAATTAAGTGAATAATAAAAAAAGAAACATATTTACACACATTCAAACCTATATTCAATTTGATTTGTTTTAATTTGTATTCTTTAAATCACATAGAGTTACTCGTGCTTAAAACGACACATAAGGCTTAAAATAGAAACGTGGTTAAGAAAGCACTGTTTTATGAAATAATTAAGTTTTAAGTTGAGAAGGTTGAATGCTATTAAACGTATACATTGACTACGGTGCTACATGGCCAATATATGAACATACATATGTACATATATGTAATCTCATTTTCGAAGAGAATCCTTTCAGCGAAATTAGTGTCCTCCCAGTCGTCAAAATAAGAGAAAGATCTTCCTGGAGCCCGACCTTTTGCTTTTATGAAGCAAAAACCTTTTCGTGGTCGATTCTTTACACCTTCTCATCCGCCTTCTAAAAAAGGAGCTATACACACATCAATTTGTCAATCAACTTCAAATAAACTGTTGAGCTGTTCAAAGTCAAACGATTTTTGTGTTTGTGGCTCCTTAAAAACGGGATTATAAAAATTAATATATTTTAAGACTTTCACCAAAATATTTCGGACAAATTTTTAAATTTACTTGAGCTGGAACGATTTGAAAATTTTGTGTAGTATGTGTTTTGGTTTCAATTACATATCACTGTGCAATAATTTCAGGGTCACAGCCTGGGGACGGAATGATTCCAACTGAGGATGAACCACCTAGACCCATATAGTAAAACCCCCACAATTTTTTGCGTTTTTGGCAGTGTTGTCAGTTTTTTTTTTTGATAAAGCTAACAAATTCAAAAATGTATCGGGCAATTTTGGCCCAATCAATATTTTGCAAATTATTATTTTTTTTTTTCAAATCCTTTTTATTTTACAATAAAAAATCCTCTAATAGCCTTCAAAGTAGGTTTAGTTCTTAGTACTATGGTGCAATTAATGTTTTTTACCATTAAAGAAATAATTGCAAAAGGTACGAGCTTATCCGGGTTAAAAACACAAAATGAAACAACTGGTTTTCATTTTCTTGCAAAAAAAGTAATTTCAATAAAATATTGTATTAAATATAAATTTATCCACTTTCATATACGATTTAACTCTTATAATTTACGAAAGAGTTATTAATATCATTTTTACTTTGGGAAACATCTATAAGACTATCGCCAAATTGGCGATAAATCGGCCAACCTGTTATCAGGTCAAGTTTTTTTATGATATAGAAATATTTTTATGATTAGAATAGAAAAAAGGGTTAAAATCCAAATTGGGGCGAAATAAGTATATAGTTTGGGTACATATAGTAAAATTTAATGAGGAATAATTTTTTTATAACCTTTTAACCAATTAACACTCTCATGAAAGCGTCGTTTAGGATACTTTTTTGGAAAGGTTGAATAAAATGGCATTTGGTAGATCGAAGAGGGTTAAAATGTTGTAGAAAATCCCTAGAATTACTCCGGCCCCACTGTGTATCTGATGGCATTTTGAGGTGTCAAACATTTTTAATTATTTTTTATGTTTACACTTACGTATTAAATATATGCATTGTGTTTATATAAAGCTTCATACATACACATACTTACATATGTACATACTTACATTGGACCGTACCACAAAAAAAAGTTCACCTCGTGGACCTCGGAGCCCAAAATACACAGTATTCACAGTCGGATCTTAAATTGTGATATTTCGATGTTTCTGTCTCATTGATCTCAAGTACCCCTTTCTAGTACATATCCACCAGATCTCAGTTCTTCTCATCGTAACGTACCGACTTAATGTTAGTAAATAAACACTGGAAAGATGGTCAGGGGTAATTTGACCCATTTTTATATTTGACTCTCAATATTTCTTTTGCCAGTTATTTTTCTAAATAGGTATTTCTTGACTTTTATTTAAAATGCATAAAATTTAATATAAAAGCCATCGTATTTTATTGATTTGTTTAAACTTAAACATTTGACCATATTGGCAAAAATTTATATAATTTTTTTTTTCTAAACTAAGAAAATCAAAATGAAAATTTAAATCTTATAGTATCTTTAAAATGAATAAACATATTTTAATAAAATTAAGTTTAAAGTATTTATGACAAATGACCCCTGCCTTTCTTTCAAGGTAAGTCAATTTTCCAGGCTATCTAGAAAGAAATAATAATATAAAATTTATAATTAATATATGTTTTTTTTATGAATAAACCCTTTTTAAATTAAAATTATAAGTTTTTGTTACTAAAATTAATTTTGAAGTAGTCGGCACAAATAGCCCCTGTCCGTCTTTCAAGGTAAGTCGATTTTCCAGGCTATATAGTGTTAAAGCTCTACAAAAATTATTAAACCTTTCTATGGAAGATTTTTGATTATTCCAGTAGAAAAATTTAAAGAAACAGACCCGTCGGTTCGTCCAAAAAAATATTATTTTTTTCGGATTTGCCTTGCAAAAATATTTTAAACCGAGTGGTTTACGGCGTTTACTTGCAAGGTGGTTCGGTCTAATGTACATATATGTATTGTATGAATATCAGAAATAATACATATATTTTACTCATATCGTACGTGCTAATTAGTTTTTTTTTTAATTAAGTATGTCAATAAATTGGAATGTTTATAGGCGGACATATCCACACCTACATATCGTCTTCTGAAATGCAAAATAACGTAACAACATCGTCACTGAAATGCAAAAAGTCGTAACTTATAAAAGATTCAAAATTCACTTTTTGATTGCTATGATGGATTTCATCGAATTACACACATCGTTTTATGAAAAAATAAATAAAAATTTGTCACGACTTTTTCCATTTCAGTGACGATGTTTTTACATTATTTTGCATTTCAGGTGACGAAATGTAGATCCAATCAACGATCAACTAAAAAAAAAATTTGGATGCTTTTTTTTTGCATAAATCAATTTTTTTTTACATATTACAAATTTTTATACACTAACTAAAAAACTACTATTATACCAGTTTTCGTATTAATTGTACGTTATGCAAGCAGTCATATTTCCCGATCTGAGTTTTCAGTTAGCTCGCTTTAGATCTAGGTGTGCGATATGTATGCACATCGCCATAATGAAATGTACTTGAGTAGCAAAATTCATCAAATATACATATAGTCGTTTAAAGTAAAAAACCGCGTATCGCCGTTCTGTAAAACCGCGTAACTGACATTTTTTTTCCAAAA